TGCCTGCATTTAGCATGAAGGAGTCAAAACAGATTGCTGAACAGATACGTTCGCTCAATATGTTTCCTGATTTGTTATGCAGAAGGAAGCCAGGTTTTAGCTCTGAGAAAAAGGAACAGAATGGATTAATCCTGATTGGATTAAACATCTATAAGCACCCCAAATCTTGAAAAATAATTGATGAGGAAAAAAACACATTGAAGATGCTCAAATGCAAAGTTTTCATTTATTTGTGTTACCTATCTTGCCAGTGAAAATAATTTCAGCTCTGAATCCTGACTCAAATTGTTCATCCCTACACTTGGGGTGAAAGGGGATTATTACATAAATATGGCATGTTGTTTCTTCCCATACACCCAATTCACTAATTTGTTGATTCTCATTACCAGTAGAAGGGAATATTTGTAGCTCAGGGTTGAAGGGTCCTTGTTGCTCTCTGAGCTTGGTGGTTTGCTTGTAGACATTTCATTACCCAACTAGGCAACATCATCAGTGAAAGTGAGTGTGGGGTTTGCTCCCTGTTTATATACAGTAGCTTACCCACAGCAGTTATAAACAGGGAACGAACCCCGCAATCACTCTCACCAATGATGTTGCCTAGTTGGGTAATGAATTGTCTACAAGTTCAGACAGCAGTAAGGACTCCACTCATTACTAACCAATCTATCTAAAATCAATCCAATAACTGCAGCTTTGTTCTTTTCATTCCAATGTAATGGAAGTTGGTGTGTTCCTAACACAAGATGGCATCCCCAGAGAGCAGGCTTGCAGACATCGCTTGCCCACGACACAGCTTCTTTCCCATTCTGCCCCCCAAATGGTTGCTTCTCCTCTTCAGCCCTGTGTGGATTTCCCCAAGTTCCCTCAGTTACAAGGCCAGTGTCACTTACGAAAGAGATGCAGGCTGCGAGCAGGAGAATTCGCACAAGCAAGTCTTCAAATTGTTCCACCACCAGCTCCCATATAGTTTTGCCTGATAAGCAAGAAAGGGTGGGATGAAAGGCACAAAGGAGACACAGGCTGCAGAGATGGGGTGGGGAAAATCAGCCTGCCTCCCCTCCCCAATCAAGAAAGCAATAGGCTGCAAGGAAAGAGAGAAGGGACAACGGGCCTGCAGGGATCTACGATAGATTTTTCAGCAAGTTCCAGCAGGTACGCTTGGGAAAAGGGTAGGTTTTTCTATGCAAGTCAAGCTATGTGTTAACAGAAAGTCCAAATCAACCATTAATTTGGAGAAATGGCAAGTTATACAACCAACTTTGTTCTCCTGCCTCTTCTCAATTGATCTATCTTCCAAAAAGAGATGTTTGTTTCATCCAAAAATGTCAGGGGAGGGAGGGGTTTCTTCCAGCTACCAAGCAGCCTCCATTATTTGTCCAACAGCATTTCAAAGAACCATCTTTTATCCCAGATATGCCTCTTAGAGCATTTAATTAGTTCTAAGGGCCCAAGAAAGGGAAATTGAGTGCTAGGGTGATTCTTGGCAGATCAGAACATGGATATGGACAGGACAACATACTGTTTGGTAGAGGCAGAATTTGGCATCTGATTGGTCAAAGGAACAGCTTCATGCCTCTGCCTTATGATGGCACTTGATGGAAATGATTGGGACAAACCACATGGCAATTCACAGGTTAACCTGAGATTTTATTTCTAAATAGAAAGTTTGAGGCCCCATCTGAAGACCCAATTGCCACTGAATCAGTTTTATAGTCTGTAGAAGTCATTTGGGCCATGTTAATTCAAGGTTGAGGGGTTTTTCTTAATACTTCCAAATGCTTATGCTCAATCTTTCTTAGGACTCACCTTCTTCAGCTGGGAGTTCTGGGGTTCGGAGACAGCACGTTGGGAGAGGAAAAGAAAGGAAAAGATAGAAATAAAAGCTGGTCAGGGTTATTGCTAGTGTGATTTTTGCTGAGCAAAGGTGGAAACAGAGAAAAGGTATAGGCTAAACCAGGGGTAGGCAACCTTGGCTCTTTTATGACTCATGGACTTCAACTCCCAGAATTCCTGAGCCAGCCATGCTGAGGGGAAAGGGAGAGGTTTCCAAGCTGAGCCATGCTGGCTCAGGAATTCTGGGAGTTGAAGTCCACGAGTCATAAAAGAGCCAAGGTTGCCTACCCCTGGGCTAAACTATTCTGGATTTACAGAGAAGTTGGTCTCGCACATGGAGTTTAAAGTTAATTTTCAGTGTCATATGTCATAACTCCACAGTTAGAAAGAACGAGTTATATGATCATGCTTAGGTTTAGGGAGTGATTGTGAGTTGGATATGGACATCCCTGCAGAAATGAGTAAGCCTTTTACTGATTTCAATTTGTAAACCATGGGCCTACGTGACTGCAAATTTAATTTGTGTATAGGAAATCCTTGGAGGTAGGACTTCACAAGGAGATAGGAAGGAACAGACTGGGGTCATTTAGAGCAGTTACAAACTCATGCATGTACCACAAAATAGCACAATCACACATTTCCAATCCCCTCTGATCGAATTCTTGTTATAATCCTACTGAGGAGCCCAGAACTTTTGACCTTTCCCCATATATTTGAGGGACATTATAAAATTAGGAAATCAGACTGTCCTCTCAATCATCTGCACCTTTGGCAGCATGATATGCCCACCTCTAACAAAACAAGCCTCTCCAGATCCACCTACTCACACAGCATCACAACCAACCAACAATTACATTTTGTTCCTCAAAGACATCTCTTCTCAAATCTACTCAGCATCTAACTAGCTCACTTCACCAGCTGTGTAATATCAGTACTCTCTTTTGTTGCGACTTCCCGGCTGCTCCTACAAGTTGCCCATCAGCAATTTTGATATCTCGTTCATACCAAAGGGAATTTACTGAGTTATTCTTAGCAAAGCAGCAGCAGCTGCCCTGTCCCCAGCATGGCTATCTCCCCCCCACCAACTTTGCAGTCGTCAATTTTCTTATTCCCCTTCCATGGCCAAACTTTAGACTCTGCTAGACCATCTCTATCACCTCCTTTCTGCTTTCCAATAATTATGTAACCATTTTTCTTTGGTAATAGTTGTTTCCTCCTATTGCTTCTATCCTTCCTTACATTTTAGAATCCATGTCCATCACTGTCCATCTCTGGTTTGATAACCTTTGCTTTCTTTTCTTCTTATATCTATGTTGTTCTGCATATCTTTTCAGCTCTCTGGCTCTCCATTTCCCCTGCCTTCTTGCATCCTGGCACCTGACCAAGTGGGTACCAAAAGGGCTGTAATTTTAGAAAGCACTCACCATTGGGTCCATATTTTTCCAGATTCTTCTTCACCTGCTCAGGAGAGAGGCCTGTATGCTCACTTACTCCAAAGTAAGCCAGGCACTCTTCCGATGTTTTGGCATGGGCGTTTTCCATTTTTGCCCTACCGCACCTGTCCCCTTGTTGTGTTTAAAGCTGCTTCCCACTTCTTCCGGCTTGGCCTGCTTCTGTTGTTCCCCTGCTGTATGTTCAGTGGAGTGTCACTCGTGCCCCCTGTTGAGTTCCTCCTCTTTCTCAGCAGACCATGGTCCTTGGAGCACAGTATCCAATGATGGAGGGAAAGCCCGATGACCCGTCCTTGCACAGAAGCCTTCACCAAACTCTGAGGCTGGCACACGTCCTTATGAGGCAGCCAGAGGACCAGATCCTTGGACATTTTCCGTGGGCCCCCATTGGGTGACCAGTGCTGACATCACTTCATCCACCAACTCACATATGGCCTTCTGCGGAGAGAAGGTATTTTTGCTGACTTGAAGGGAGAAGCCAGGAGGATGGTTGGCTTGGGATGGGGGGAGGAGGAGAGAGGAGGCCGAGTGTCCACAGACCCATGTGTCACTCAAATGCTTGCCTGTTCCTTTCAAGAGATCTCACCCTAGCCTCCCCTCCTGCCTCCTACAGATTTAGGGTTTATTTCTGTCACTTGTCGTCTATAATGAAGATACACAGAGAAGTGGGCTGCCCTCGTTCCCATATATGCAACTAAATCAATCTGTTTGCCATGTCTGTCTCATTTGCATAGGCTTTAAATATTATTTAATAATCCACACATGTGCATTTACATATGTATCATAGGCATAGATTTTTAGTTTTTTTTATCACTCTTTTTTCACTCCATTAAATTTTTCTTTGTTGGATCTATCATCCCTCTCTCTCAGTTTGCAATCTCTGACAGCAACCAAACAGATGACCAAGAGAGATTCACAAGCTGAAGAGGTCCTGTCACTTGTCTTTGGTATCTGCTACTAGCTCTAAACGTGATTTTTGCACTTCTAGTTATCATGGCTTATGGTCACAATTCCATGACCAGTTGCTGCTTTTACAAGCCCTTTAATGTGCATTCTATTGTAATTTATTGCAGCAACTGACTCTTTGATGATGTTTTTTATTATACATTGTACAAAAGTTTAATATACTTATTTGATTTTAAAACAAACATGGGTTTTATTTATTTGGTTGTGTAGAAAGATGAAGCAAAGTGTTATGTTTTCTGTTCGATGCGACATTGAAGAGGCAGTTGGTGAAAAACAATTCTCTTATTTTAGAGTCAAAACCGAAACTGAACAACCAATGCTCCACCCATACTTATACACTCAGCCTAAAAGCAGCAGCCAATAGGAACACAGTATTCTCCCGCTTAAATGCATAATAAGTAGTCTGCAGACAGAAAGTCTGGCTTGTTGGCCACATGGCCAGCTAACCGTTTCTTCACAGTTCTCAGCATCTTAATTCTCAGACTTTACTCAATACATTACACCCCTTACCCCTAGATCATTTACACTTACAAAATCTTTTCTGTTTGTGCAAAACATTACAATTGTTCCAATGGCAAAATGGCATAACTTTGTGCATAAACATTACACTGTTCCAATGGCAAAAATACATAAGCATTCAAGTTTACAATGACAGAAATCTTATGTAGTCATTTAAGTACTTCGGTGGCCCTTTTGCCCGCTCTGAACGTCTCGGAGCTACCGTTAGCTCCTGGTCTATGAGCTCGCCTGCCAGGCTTGGTAGACCGGGGCTGTGTGTTCCATTCGTCATGGGTAGAGCCGATTCTTGGAGGCTGGTCTGACCAGGTAGACCCGAGCCTGTGTCCATCTCTCTGTGGCTGGTCTGTCCTGGTAGACCTGAGCCAGTGTCCCACGTTGGAGTAGGGCCCACTGGACCGACATGTGGAGCCGATTGACGGCATTGTCCCATAGCCCAAGTGCCTGAGTTAGGGGCAGTCTCACGGTTTGCAAACCCCCCATTTGGCAATCGAAAAGTCTCGCCCTCGCTTGGGGACTCGGATGCACGATCGCAATCATGTTCCCCGTCCCCCTGAACAGAGTCATGAGCTAACGGCTGGGTTGCTATCCTCCGTCGCAGCTGGTCAATGTGCCTGCGAAGCACACGACCGTCTTCCAGGACCACTTTGTATGAGAGCGGCCCTGACACCTTACCAACCACAGCTACCACCCACAGTGCACAGCCCACACCGGGTCGCCAACTTGCAAGTGCCTTGGAGCCTTTGGCTGCTGTGCTTGTGAAGCAACCCTGTCTGGATGTAAGCGATCCAGCTTTGTGATCAAGCGCCGCCCCATCTTAATTCTGCCGGGCTTCTTCCCATAGAAGTGCAGGGTGTTGTGCGTTGGCAAAGTAAGAAATCTGCCAGCCTATGGTGCCAGTTGCAATCCTCTTCAAGGATTCCTTGGTCGTTCTGACCATGCGCTCCACTTGGCCGTTAGAGGCCGGGTGAAAAGGAGCTGAGGTGGAGTGCCTAATCATATTAGCCCTTAAAAAGGACTGGAATTCTGCAGAAGTAAATTGAGGCCCATTGTCTGAGACTATGACATCAGGGAGCCCATAAATTGCAAAGATGCTGCGCAGAACCTGGATGGTCCTAGCAGTAGTCATAGTGGATACTGGAGCGACCTCTAACCACTTGGAGTGGCTATCCACTACTATGAGGAAGAGTTGCCCCTAAAAGGGGCCTGCAAAATCAATATGAATTGACCATGGGGCTTGTGTCGTTTCCCATCTGTGGACCGGGGCATGTGGCATTTCTGGCCTTGACTGCTGGCAAATACTGCAGCTATGGACCTGGGCCTCGATATCTTTATCGAGCCCAGGCCACCAAAGGTAGCTACACGCGAGTGCCTTCATCTGGACTATTACCGGATGTCCCTCATGCAGAGATTCAAGGATTCTAGTCCTCAGTGAGCTCGGGATTACGACCCGACTGCCCCACAAAAGGCAACCCTTATGAGCGGATAACTTGTTCTTCCTTCTCCAAAAACTCTGAAAGTTAGGCCCAGGCACGTTTCCAGCCATCCTGTGAGCACACAGTTCAACACGCGGCTCAGCTTGTTGTCTGAAGCTGTCTCAGCAGCCACATCCCCTGCGTTAAGGGGAGACTCCGGCAAATCCTGGATAGCCAGGATGCGGTTAGCTGGAGCAGGGTCTGGCTCTAAGTGCGGTAGGGGTAGCCTACTAAGGCCGTCTGCGTGGCCCATTTCTTTGCCCGGTTTGTGAATCAGACAATAACTATAAGCGGACAGGAATATTGACCACCTCAACATCCTAGGAGAAATAATCTGGGGTGTTTGCTTGTTCGTAGTGAACAACCCCAGAAGTGGCTTGTGGTCTGTGAAGCCCGTGAAATGGCAGCCATACAAATAGTCATGGAACTTTTTTATACCCGCCACGATGGCCAATGCCTCCCTATCTATCTGTGCGTAATTGCGTTCCTCTGAAGAAAGGGTTCTAGAATAATAGGCTATGAGAACTTGTGTCCTGTCCGCCTGAAGATGGCTTAACACAGCTCCAATCCCATACGGGGATGCATCACACGCAATGCTGATTGGTAGCTGCTCATTAAAATGGGTCAACACCACATTTGATGACAGCAGTGATTTGACTGCTGCAAAACTTCACTCGTGGACGCTCGTCCACTTCCACTGAGCCTTCTTGTCCAAGAGCCAGTGTAATGGCTCTGCCACTGCGGCCTTGTGGGGAAGGAAGGCGTGATAAAAATTAAGGAGTCCCAAAAAGGCCTGAAGTTCTCCTTTTGTCTTGGGACTGGGTGCCTGCTGAATTGCTTTGAGCTTGGATTCAGCAGGATGAATGCCTTCGGCATCTATGCGAAAACCAAGGAACTCTGTGGAAGTAACCCCAATTTACATTTTTCCTGCTTTAGCTTCAGCCCCGCTTCGCGGAAACGCTGCAAGACAGCCCTCATCCTTTCAGTTAGGATTTTGACTGATTCCCCGGCTATGATGACATCATTGAAATACAGGCACACACCTGGAATGTTTTGGAGTGTGCACCCCATTATGCTCTGAAAAATCCCCGGGGCTACACTAACCCCGAACTGTAACCACTGCACCTTGAAAACTCCCCTGTGGGTTACTATGGTATGGGCCTCAGCCGTGGCGTCGTCCACCGGCAGCTGCTGATAGGCCTGGGCCAAATCTAATTTGGTGAAAATGCAACCTCCCTGTAGGGATGCCAAAATGTGGCTGACCACAGGCACCAGGTACGAGTGCTGTTGGAGGGCTTTATTTAGCGTGCATTTATAGTCGGCACAAATGCGGACCTCCCCGTTGGCCTTAAGTGGCGTAGCTATGGGAGTTTCCCATGGACTGCTATCCACTGGCTCTAAAATGCCTTGAAGCAACAGTTTGTCCAACTCTGCATTGATTCTTTGCTTAAGGGCAAAAGGCACCCGACGAGGCTTTATCCTTATTGGTGCTATTGTAGGGTCAAGCCGGAGGACAATTGGGGGGCCTTTATACTCCCCTAACTCTGGGCTGAAAACATCAGCAAATTCCTAACAAACTGCCAAGAGGCTCGACGTCTGCAAGCTATTTAACCCGGTCACTTGAATTCCCAATGCATCAAACCAGTCAAGTCCAATGAGGCTAGTGCGGTTGCCCTCAACTACTACGACTTCCAGGGGACCCTCGAAATTCCTGAACTGCACCCCGAGTGTGGCCTCCCCCTTGACTGTTACACAGGAGTTTTGGAAATCGGTTAGAACGAGGTTCGACGGCCTGAGCTTAACTCGCCGCTATGACTACAAATTTGCTGGAGGGTCCTTTGGGAAATTATTGATAAAGCTGACCCCGTGTCCAACTCCATGTCACAAGGAACCCCTTGCAACTTGACTTTGAGATGCAACTTTTCCTTGAGTGGGCGATGGGCACCTGTCCTAAACACGCTCCTTCGACTAGTGTAGCGGTTCTCAACCTGTGGGTCGCGACCCCTTTGGGGATCGAACAACCCTTTCACAGGGGTCGCCTAAGACCATCGGAAAACACATATTTCCGATGGTCTCTATCCGTCTCCAGGCGGATAAAAACAACACAGAGAATGATAAAACTTAAAGCATCAAAGGAGCAACTCTCCACCTCTCAGGTAGAGCTAGCAAGAGCCAACGACTCAGCCCGCCTTCTCCCAGCCTTTTCACCAATCAGAAGCTGCGGCCCGGACATTGGCGTCCGTGCCGTATCTTCCCGGGGAATCTGTGAAGCCCGCGGAGCTGCTCCAAATCGCGCTTGCGTGCAGTCGCTCGCGCCTCGGTGGAAGAGGGGAGACGGGCTGGCGGGGAGTTGAGGGGGGGTGAGGCAGGAGGAGGAGGAGGA